AGTGCAGACTAGGAGCATGTGATGGCATTTCCTCCCACAGTTAAAAAAATTGACAAAGAAGGCTACATCTTTGGTCAAATTTTCAAATTGGATGAGACTGGTTTATACGAAGTGAATGCCATCAAGAACCTACATTTCTATGAATGAAGCACACACTCCAGGCTTTAAGGTGGCAAAGGATCGTACGACTGTACTGCTGGGTGCCAATGCCAGTGGAGACTTAAAGCTAAATCCTGTGGTGATGTACCACCCTGCCAACCTGTGATAGAAACCTTGAAAGGTTACCTTAAGTCTACTCTAGGTGTCTACTTTAAGTCAAGCAAAAGAGGTTGGATGTTGGGGCAAATTTTTTCTTGTTGTTGATGTTTTGAAAGATGTTTTTAGAAAGTATTGCTGGAAAAAAAATTGGAAAAAACAGGATTCTCCTGTTCCTGGATAATGTGCCAAGCCATCCTCCATTGGTGAGCTTTTTGAAAACATCAAAGTGCTATTTCTACCCCCAAACACAGCCTCTCTCCTTCAACCCATGGACCAGGATGCAAAAACAGCTTTTCAAGTCTATTACTTAAGGCACATATTTAAGGGACTGATTGCAGCCACTGAGGGGGATAAGGGCAGTGCTCTTCAATTTTGGAAGAGCTTTAAGAATGCAACTGGCATTATCGTGGAGGCCTGGGTTGATGTTAGTAAGGACTGCTTACATGCAGTTTGGTGGAAGCTTCTCCCAGATTTTTTTCAAGATTTTAAAGGCTTTGATCTGTCAGAGGAGCTCCTAAGAATCAAAGAACATTGTGTTGATCTTGCAAAGCGAGTTGGATTTGAAGATGTGGAGAGTGAGGATGTTGAAGAGCTGCTTGAGTCTCACTGTGAAGACATCTCTACAGCTGATCTACAACAACTTATCGCTGAGGGGGCAGTGGATGCAGGAGATGAAGAAGATGAAGTCCAGGATGCAACACCACGAGAGCTTTCCACTTCTGTTCTGTGTTCTATCCTGAGAGAAATTGAGAAACAATTGCAGCTCTTAGAGGACAACAATTACAATGCAGAAACGCAGCAGGGTAGCTGGAATAAGATCTTATTTGGCACCCTATGAACAGCTTCTTCATGAAAGGAGAAAAAGGGAGAAGCAGCAAAAACTGGATGTCTTTTTTTAAGCCAACTCCCAAGAAACAATCAGAAGATAATGAACCACAGCCATCCACTCCTGGATTAACTACTTTGCACCCTAACCCTGTAACCACAACTGCACCTGAAGATGGTGATGATGATGATGATGACCCTCAGCCCATGCATTAACAACAGAGCCACCTCAAAATCTCCTCCCCCATCAAGAAATCTTGACAATTTTTCAAGGTAGGGTGTTAAATTTACTTTTATTTCATTATTAGATATGAATTAAACATTTATTCAAATTGTGCTATCCTTTGTGTTAGGTTTTTAAATGATTTTGAGTGATATTTTTTGGTGGTCTGCCCCTAACTCCGCTTTTCCCATAGGCCCCGTTATTTCTGTGGCACGATTTTCTGTAATGCAGTGTTGCACAGGAACACGACCACCACGTTATAGCAGAACCGACCTATGAAACTATTAGACTGTCCAGTTCTGACAAATGAGACATCAGTGAACTCTGAAATGCTGTTTTGTATGTCTGTTAGTACCATGGAACATCTGCAGTTGATCCTTGGAAGGTGTGAGAAGTGAGGAGGTACAAAACCACCGCGAATTTGATGGCTACTGAGATGGCATGGTGACCAGTACTTGAAGGTATGGGGCCTTCCACAATGAGAGCACAAGAATCTTTTTCCATCTGTGTGTAGATTTTCAGTTTTCACCAGGCCCAGTTGTCAGCCATCTCAATGTAATTTCCAGATGCTTGCTTCTCTCTCCTTCCTTCCTAATGCTCAGGATCCTTTCTCCCATTTGTATTTTATACCCATATGCAAACATTTGCAAGTCTTGTCATCACTGTCATTTTCTGCTGTCCTTGTGGTCAGCTTATTGTCCCTTTTGTCCATGGCAACTTTGCCCTGGCTCTTCCCCTCTGATGTTAAAAAGGCAATGGCACTATACTGCCCTGGTGATGACTGCTCACTCTACTTGGAACCTATGAAGTGCCAATAACACCTGTACATCAATGTCCAAGTCATTTTTCTGCCACTGAAACTTTTGACTGTGAGGTATTTCCCAGGGACAGCCATGGCTGGTTGCCACTTTGTAATCATCTCCTTTCAACTCATCTACCCAAGATAGCACATGTAACAACCAGTTTTTCTATTTCTCTCTGTATAGATGCTGCCAGACATGCTGAATTTCTCCAGAAATGTTAGTTTTTGATTTGGGCTTTCAACATCTGCAGTGTTTTGGTGTTTGATTGTAACCAGTGCATCCCCCTGAAAAGAGCCCCCTTTGTCTAGCCTTTAAATAGGTATGTAAGTATCTGAATTGGGTTTAGTGGAGGATGTGATAGGATTGTGATTGTCACGGACAAAGGGACAAATGGGACAATTTAAATGAAAATTTCTTTCCTGTCCTAAGATTGAGACACAAGATGTCATTTAGTTTGGATCAGAGATAGTAGGAACTGCAGATGCTGGAGAATCCGAGACAACAAGATGCAGGGCTGGATGAACACAGCAGGCCAAGCAGCATCATAGGAGCAGCTTGGCCTGCTGTGTTCATCCAGCCATGTCCTTTAGTTTACTGCTTTCCAGATCCAATCTATATTTCCCTGAATGACTGAAAGAACAATTTCCCTTTTTACCCTTATTGAGGTAGGCTGAAAAGGTGCTCCCAAATCTTGATTTTCAGACTCCAAATTATGAAATTATGGCACAGCAAAAAATATTTAAGATGAAATCAAACAAAGGGTTTTGTGTCAAAGCATTGTAACGTGGGTGATGAGGAATTGCTTCGCTGTTGAATCTACACATAAGCACTCAGAAAATTCAGGCAAGACAGGAGGAGAGAGGTTACAAATTACAAGTTTTCATAAATCCAGAGGTATGAAAGTCAGTCTATGTGAGTTCCCAGAGGTCAATGTGCAATAATAGTTTTGTTGGTGAGCTGGGCCTGGTAGATTTACTTCTTGCAGGAAAAGTGCCTGCTTTTTTCTAGTCAGTAACATGGAGACAGAGATCATGGAATTCCTACAGTGTCGAAACAGGCCATTCGGCCCAACAAGTCCACACTGCTCCTTTGAAGACCGCCCCACCCAAATCCATTTCCCTGCCCCTGTATTTCCCATGTCTAACCCACCTAACCTAAACATCCCTGAACACTATGGGCAATTTAGCACGGTTAATCCACCTGCCCTGCACATCTTTGGACTGTGGGAGGAAATCAGAGAACCCAGAGGAAATCCATGCAGACACAGGGAGAATGTGCAAACTCCACACAGACAGTCTCCTGAGGGTCCCTGGCACTGTGAGGCAGCAGTCCTAACCACTGAGCCACTGTGCTGCCCACGATGGAGGGCCTGAACCAGGTACCAACTCAGCCTGCAGGTCTGTTGTCCCTCTGGAGACGTTTGGAGAGAAAATTATTTAGGTCTAATATTGGGAAAAACATAATCCAGATCAAACAGGGAGAGGACATGAACCAGATCTAATGGGTCACAAAAATGATTCAGATCTATTAGCAGGGAGACAGAGAGGAGAATCCCATCCATCTTGACACCTTCATCAGCCCTAGCTCCTGTTTAACATACCTTCCCTGGCAGATCTCCTATTCTGTCATTCACTGTATTTCTATGAAGCCCAATTGTTGGTATAGAACATGTAATTGAACTTTGATGCCAGGAAGTGTGATGTCATCCATTTTGAATCCAAGAGTATTTTTTAAATAGTGAGAAGTTTGGAATTTTGGAGGAACAGAAGGATTTAAGATTCAGTGTATAGAATTCACTACACGATAGTGAATAGGTACAGATATAAAAGCCTAAAGCAATGTTGGCCTTTATTTCAGGGGCTGGAATCCAAAAGGTGGAAGTCATGTTATAACTGTCTAGAATTCTATTTAGGTCCCATTTGGAGTAATACATTCAGTTCAGAGTCTTTCACCACAGTGAAAATTATATTGACCGTAGAGAGAGATCAGCCCACATTCACCAGAAACATACTGAGGCAAAAAGGGTTATCTTATGAAAATTATTGGTGGAAACCAGATTTTATTTGCTTGAGCACTGAATGATTGAATCAATATCCTTAAAATGATTAGAGCTTGTTTTAGTTGATGGAGTTATTCTATTATCACCTGTCCACACTTCAGAAGAATGTGGCACGACCTTCAGTTGAGAGCCAGGCTGTTCATTGCTAATGTCACCTTACATACAGGGTAGTAGAAATCTGGAATTTTATCTTCAAAAAGATAATGGGGTCAAATGAAAATTTCACAGCTAATATTGTGTCAGCCAAAAAAAAAACGACTAAGGACCAAAGACAGTAAATGGAGTTAAGATACTCTTTGGGAATGATATCAGGAGTGAAGTAGAATGGCTCCTCTTACTTGTTGTGAGAGAGATGACATAGTCTTTGAGGTGGATCTGTCCTGACCTCTGTGCAGTTTGATTGTGGCGTATGCTGACTGTATGTATTCTACTGTTTTGGGTTCATAGTTCAACCATGTTTTATCTTTGTTGCAACTCACATTGGTTGGAGGTGTTTCATGGTGAGCTTATTGAGACCTACAGTTTCTGCTGCTTTGCTTTTAGTTTGATTACTTTATCCCTCTCATTAACCTTCAATCACATTGCCTCCGGTCTGAGCTGATTAATTTGGAATTTGCATTTGTGTCTATCTGCTGTATTGCGGCTCCATTTGTATTGTAAACTTATTTTCCTGATTTTTGTTCTGAACTGCTACATCAGGCCAGAAAGGGTTAAACTTTGGCAGAATGAGTCATAAAGTGAACATCTGCACGCCCAGCGTTTATAAGAATTTCACCTCCGGCTCTGGCATCTCAGTCTCTTTGGTGCTGTGTGAAACATTCAGCTGGTGTAACAATGGATCCCAGAGCTTTGGAAAATGAATTAACTTGTGCTGTCTGTCTCCATGTGTACCAGGATCCTGTGACATTACCATGTCAACACAGTTTCTGTTTGAAATGTATTGAGGGAGTTTGGGCCCAGAAAACAGCTCCAGGAGGGTTTGAGTGTCCTCAGTGTCGTCGGAATTTCAAACACAAGCCGAGACTTGAGAAAAATATCACGTTGTACAATATAGTGGAAAAATACAACCAATCACAGTCTTCTGCTGTTATGCAGCGTGCCAGGTGTGATAGCTGTGACGATAAACCAGTCCCAGCTGCAAAAACATGTCTTACTTGTTTAGCTTCATTTTGTTTCCTTCATTTGAGACCCCATTTACGGAACAAGGCATATCAAGATCACACTCTTATTGAACCTATGGCTGATGTTACACACAGGCAGTGCACTGACCATAAGAAGCTCTTGGAGTTTTACTGTAAAGACGAAGATATATGTGTGTGTGTTTCCTGTACAATAACAGGTAAACATAAATTCCACACACTACTGAGCCTGAATGAAGCACAAGCTGAAATTAAGGTTAGTACACAAGTTTACTTGTTCATGGCCAATAGTGGAACTAAGTGCAGTCAGTACTGAGTTAGTCCAATGTTTTTTCACTGCCCTGAATCTGGGTTTATGGCTGTTTGCTTCTTGTCAGTCAGATTGCTGCCTCTCCATTTTCGTACAGTCTGACAGAACAGAGTGGACACTGGGGGATCAAGAGGGTGACTTGGGTGAATATCTCCTACCTGCTCCCAGTCCCTCTGAGTGTGGGACTGTAGAGCTCAACAATTTACAATGTGGGCACCTACAAGAACTGGCACCCCATGGCACAGGGCTGTAGAGAAGAGCATATTGTAGCCTGTGTAACACTAAGGGACTCTGCCATCTGAGACCATCAGCAGTTGGGGATACCCAATGAGGAGACTGAGTGACTGAGTGGAAAATCTGTTGTTCCTCATAACAAAAGAGAATTGTTGTTTGAGAAATGCTGGCGTGCCTGCCTGAGCCTGTATACTGTTCACACTGATTGTTTGAAATGGAGGTGCTGAATCCATAGCACCCAGTGTGACTGTGAAAAGGAGCTAGTGTTTGTGATTACTCAGGTTATATTGGGCATGGAGTATCTCTTTACAGAGAGACATATAAAGGAATACTTTTGCTTGGGACCCAGGGACTGAGATCCTGAGATTTACAAGGAGGGATTGAGGGAGCCATCAGCAGCTGGTAAATCTGCAAATGCATAAATGTTGACTTGACAGTGAGACCTCAACAAAATTCTTTAACTTTAGTTCCTAACTAGGAACCAGCTATATGGAGAAGCTGAGCACAGCAGATGGAAAATCCTGCTGTATAAGGCAGAAACCCAGGGACTTTTCTTTTATTATTCACTCATGAGATGTTGGTGTCCCTGGCTGGCTAGCATTTTATTGCCCGTCCCTAGTTGCCCTTGAGAAGATGATGGGGAGCTGCCTTCTCAAATCCCTGCATTCCACATGTTGTAGGTTGACGCACAATGCCCTTACGAAGGCAATTCTGGAATTTTGATCCAATGAAAGTGAAGAAATAATCATATATTTCCAAGTCAGGATGGTGAATGGGCTTGGAGGTGGATTTTCAGGTGGTAGTGTTCCCTTGCATTTGCTGCCCTTGATAAAAATTCAAAAATATCACTCAAGATAGAAATAGTCATAGGTTTGGCAGGTGCTGACTAAGGAACTTTGAAATTCTGCAGTGCATCTTGTAGATAATACACACTGCTGCTATCTAGAGTCAGTGGTGGAGGCAATGGATGCTTGTTTATGTGGTGCCATTCAAGTGGGCTGCTTTTTCCTGGATGGTGTCAAGCTACTTGAGTGTTGTTGGGGCTGCATCCACCTAGGCAAGTGGAGAGTATTCCATCACGCTCCTGACTTGTGCCTTGTGGATAGGCTTAATTCTGGGTGGGTTACTCTTCGGTGAGTCAAAAATCTTGCTGTATTTGAACAATAATTGTTTCAGTGTCAGAGGAGCCACGAATGGTGCTGAACATTGTGCACTCATCAGCAAACATCCCCACGTCTGACCTTATGATGGAAGGAAGACCATTAACGAAGCAGCTGGAGATGTTTGGCCCCTGGGCACTAGCCTGATGAACTCCTGCCTTTGGTCCAACTTGTCCATGCCGACCAGATATCCTAAATTAATCTAGCCGCATTTACCAGCATTTGGCCCATGTCCCTCTAAACCTTTTGTATTCATATACCCAGCCAGATGCCTTTTTAAATGTTGCAGTTGTACCAGTCTCCACTACTTCCTCTGGCAGTTCATTCCTTACACACCACCCTCTGTATGAATAAGATTGCCCCTTAGGGCCCTTTTAAATCTTTTCCCTCTCACCTTAAACCTATGCCCTCTAGTTTTGAAGTCTACTATCATGGGGAAAAGTCCTTGACTATTCCTCGTATCCATACCTGTCATGATTTTATAAGCTTCTATAAGGTCAGCCTCAGCCTCCAACACTGAAGGGAAAATAACCTCAGTCTATTCTGCTTCTCCCTATAAGCTCAAACCCTCCAACCCTGGCAACATCGTTGTAAATCTTTTCTGAACACTTTCTAGTTTCACAGCATCTTTCATTTAACTGTGGTGGAGTGCAGAATTGAGTGCAGTGTTCCAAACGTGGCCTAACCAATGTCCTATACAGCCACAAAATGACCTCTCAACTCCTTTACTCAATGCACTGACAAATAAATGCGAGTGTACCAAACACCTTCTTCACTATCCTGTCCACCTGCGATTCTACTTTCAAGGAACTATGAACTTGAAGTCCAAGGTCTCTTTGTTTGACAACACTCCCAGGATATTACCGTTAAGTGTATAAGTCCTGCTCTGATTTTCCCTCCTAAAATGCAGCACCTCACACTTATTTAAATTAAACTCCATCTGCCATTCCTCAGCCCATTTGCCCATCTGATCAAGTACCGTTGTACTCTGAGGTAACTTTCTTCACTGTCCATGACACCACCAATTTTGGTGTCATCTGCAAACTTACTAGCTATACCTGCTCTGTACACATCCAAATCATTTATATAAATGACAGAAAGCAGTGGACCCAGCTCTGACCTTTGTGGCACGTCGCTAGTCACAGCCTCCGGTCTCAAAAACAACCCTTCACCACTGCCCTCTGTGTACCTTTGAGCCAGTACTGTATCCAAATGGCTAGTTCTCCCTGTATTCCACATGACCTAACCTTATTTACCAGTCTACCATGCAGAGCCCTGTTGTATACCTTACAGAAGTCCATGTAGATCATGTCCACCACACACTGCCTTCATTGTTCCTCTTCGTCACTTCTTCAAAAAACTCTATCAAGTTAGTAAGATTTCCCATGCACAAAGCCATGTTGACTATCCCTAATCAGTCCTTGCCTTTCCAAATACATGTAAGTCCGCTCCATCAGAATCCCCTCCAACATCTTGCCCACCACTGACGTCAGACTCACCAGTCTATAGTTCCCTTTTCCTGACCACCTTTCTTAAACAATGGCAGTATGGAGATCAAGAGATGGCTCAAAGGTGAAGAGAGATGGCGCATTGAAAACTTGGAAGGGAAATTTTGACAATGATTGAAAAATTAAACCATTATAACCTTGTAATTTGATCCTATTGGGAGTGACAGTATGTGAATTTGTTCATCTCAATTGAGGTGAAAAATCTAGTTTTCACAAATGCAATAAAATTGGGGAACAAATCGGGGGAGAAACAATAATCATTGGAGAAAACAGGGTGAATTAATGGACACAAAGGATGCAAGTCCTCTGGGTTTAAAGTTAATGGCTGCAGAGATAGTGGATACATTGTGTAAAGTGTCGTTTTTGTGTGTCAGATTTATTTGCTTACTTAATGGGTATCATTTTACACTAATAATGTGATGTGGTTTACCATGAAACGTGGTTTATTATTGTTGAAACGCAAGAGATATACATGCAATTCTATGAAACCTTCTTACCCTCTAATTTCCCAGGTAACCTTACAGTTCTTAAATGACTATTTTCTCACACTGGTTTAAAATCTGCATGGAAGCAGTATACTAGCCCGATTACAGTTGGCCAAACTGAGGTTGATGCTGTTCTTTCTGCTCCCAAGGTTCCTGCCTCTTGTGCTGACATTGTGTCTGGAGTGTCAGCTCCTCTGATTCGAAAGGGCCCTTTAAATACAGTTCTCTGGGTCATCCCCGTGTTATGTGGCTTACTATCATTTGCTTTATCGTCATGGGAACTGACATGCATATTCCTTATATAGTTAAAGCAGTTTGATACAGCAATGTGATTAACATAATTCAGTTATTTCATGTGAATGAGTTTCTCTCCCAGGAAAAGGTGTTAGCAAAGGCAATATTAGATGTTCTAATTTCCCTGTAGTTTGAGCCGACCCTAGGAGCCAAGCTGTCTCAAAAACAATTCCACCGAAACTCTGATCTATTGCTCCTTTCTGAAACCTCGCAGCATTATCTTTTCGACATATTTTCAGTAAAGTCAGTCAAGGTAAGTGGCTTGCATATCTGTCTGGTCTGATCCATTTTGATAGTGAACTCTGCAAGTTTCCTGGCTTACTATCTTGGTTTCCTTTCCAGCATGTCATTCAGTTAGCCAATGTTGCTTTTAGTGTTCCAAAAGAACTGTTATTTATTTAAAAGGGACATTTCACTGCAGACAATTAGTTCTAGTCTTTCAAAATTCTCTAGATTGTGGAAACATCACAGTGGATTGTAAAATGACAGATGCAATACCTCTTCACAAAAGAAAGGAATCACAAATCAGCTGCTTGATATTACATGCTCCCGCTAGTGGAATTGAAAGTGTGGGGTTTGTAAATTATATCTGGTGGCTTTACCTTTGGCAACCTGCCCAGCCATAATCTGCTTAAAATTTTACAGGGATGGGAAGAGAACAGGTGGCCTGCTAAACCTTGGATCAATTAACAGCCTCACCACCCAAACCAATATTTTACCTGTGGCTTGAGTGACCCATACTGTGCTAGCCTTCTGTTAATTTCAGCTGCATGTGCTGGTTTCAGGCAAGTGAGGTTAGAAGGGTCCTCCTAGCAGTCCTATGGGCCCATTGGAGGCATCCCGTACAGGGTCATACCATCCTCCCCCAGCCTCTCAAATTCAGCCACCCTACCCCCTTGATGGGGTGTTCCATCCTGGCCCTGGCAGTGCACAGGACTTACCCTATCAGTCAGGGTTTCTATTTGTCAGGACTAGCTGTAGTATTAATGCTGGCCACTGCTTGACTTGGTGGTGCTGGGATGACTGAACTGCTAACTATCTGTTTGGCTGGCAGGACTTCCTTTCAAGATAAGTGAGACACCCTGCCTCAAATAACCAATGTTGATTAAAGCAGGGCTGCCAACTGGATCTTTAGTAGGCTTCCCCCAACCTTTTAGCCAGGAATATGGAGGCTAAGGCACATAGTTAAATCCACCTCCAGGAAAATATAGGCCATAACTTTATTGGTCAATGTATTGTGTGTAGGAGTTGGGAGGTCATGTTGT